TTTCTCACCCCAAATTACAGCTTACTCCCCCCTATGGTTTTTCAATTTTCGGAGACCTATATATCGGTTTATAGGCATTTCTGATCAAAGAGAATGATACCATTCAACTGGGATCCAAGAGTCGAATCGAAAGATATATAAATTGAAACATGTTTAAAATACATCTAAAGAATTTGCGGGCGTATAAAAATAAAGTGCAAAATATTTTCAAGACCCTCTTTCACAATGGACTTGATTGACAATTTAACCGTTTCTAAATAATGTTAATTAATCTATTAATTTTTTACATTTATGTAAATAAACAATTACTTTATTTGTGGTTGGCGTTGTTGTAAAAATATATTTTTGAGAGCCGAACTCTAGATTTGGCTAAATTGTAGTCTTTATTCATTTTTAAAATGCTTTCCGCCTGGGTTATACCGACTTTTTTAATTTTCAATAAGATTTAAAGAGATTAAATCCTTTCTTGTAAAAAGAAAATGAGAAAATAAAGTGACAAAAAATCAGAAAAATTGTTTAGGAAAATGAGTATTCAAGGATCAGATAAAGAAAAACAATTCATAAACATTTAGTATGAAATTTAGCCAAAGCTCGAGTTTGGCTCCCAACAATATACAAACTGAACATGTTCATTAGACAAAGAAGGGAACAACGATAAGCATAAATAGAAAAATAAAAAAAATAATTATCACTATTAACATCCAATAATCAAACAATCATTAGAAATTATTTAAAAATAATTTATATGATCAGAATTAGGGTGCTGAAGAGCGGATACTAACTGGATAAAAGATTGTCCGGTAATTCCAAGCTTTGCACCCCCCCCCCCCATTTTTTTTTCATTTTTTTCCTTCCTTATGAATTACATAATGGTCAATTTTTATTACTTCCTGAATTTCACTCTAGTTCCCTGTGGCAAGTTCAAATCAGACAATCTTTTCGAAATAAGATGCATTAACAAAGAAAGGATTAATTTCTTCATCGATTAACGTTGGTATATTAAGGTGTTGTCCTCTCATGTTCTTTGAATCCCTGTATCCCTCTCAGTCTCTATCCCTATAGTCTAATAAATTTTCTGATTGCAGCGCTTTTTTTTATGAATTTCCAGTCCCTGGAGGAAAAATTATCAACTTTTGACTCAAAAATTTGACATAGAACCCAAAAAATTTCTAATTTTACACCTTGATCCGACTCCACCCCAGAATATCGACACCCTAAATATCGCACCCTAAATATCGAAGCCCAAAATATCGAATGACCCTAAATATCGACACCCAAAATGACGAATTACCCAAAATATCGAAAATTTTTAAACTTCATAATTATGTATTCCAAGGACGGGGAAGTCTTTCTAAGATAGGGAAATTGTTCCAACAATGGAAGTCTTCCGTTTTCAGCGCCGCAGGCAAAAATTTTGAGAATTTTACCTTAAAAATACGATAGAAAAGCAAAAAAATATCTGAAACATCAAAAATATTTACGTCAATTTTCGTCCAAAAATGGCATTTTACGAAACGAAAACGAAAGAAAATATTTTTTCAACGAAACACGAAACGAAAAAAAAAGTAAAAAAAATTTCAAACGAAAACGAAACGAAACGAAAATTTTCGTGCAGCTCTGGTTGGGAGGCTTTTATAGTTTAAAATTGTAGCAATTCTGCTACATATTTATTAGTTCCATTTATGAATTTTAAATATAAACTATGTCAATAGATCCATGCTTTCCAATCAACTTCAATTATATTTTTGCAAGCCGAACATTAGATTTGGCTAAAAGTTTCTAATTTTGGGTCAGCTTTAGTAGGCCAAATATTATCTCTATGTAATTCAATTTTTAAACAAATGAAAGCTTAGCTTACAAAAATAGAGTAAATATGGAGAATTTTCTGTTAAACAAAAATCGTTTAAATTTTTCTGTTACCCCAATATATGGACATTTTCAAGCGTAATGCGATCAGAAAAACCTTTAAAATCCCTAAACATGCAAAAGGTAGAAAATCACTTAAAATTTAACAATATATTCATTTTCATTAATTATGTTATAAATAAAAAAACAAAAATATAATTAGGGGAAGCAATTGAGTTGAAGACGTTCATTTTTTGCGAGCCAATCAAAATTGGCTAAAATAGTTGTGGAATAGATTCTAGATAAACAAATAGAAATTGACATTCCATATTTCGAAGAATCCCGTCTTTTATTCTTCATCCACTTGCACCTTTATTACTTGCGTCGTGGGGAAAACCGGGACCGGTACACAAGGCTTGTGAAACAGGGCTGGACGCAGTTGCGAACAGGGCTGGACGCAGTTGCGCCAAGTTATTTTAATTAAATTAATTTATTAATTGAGATGTGTGGTTAAGTGGTTTAGTTTATGAACTTTACTCGATAAAGGTCCTTTTAAATATGAATGTCTTCTTCGAGTCGGGCCGACGGTCGGTTCATTTTTTTCCTGCGGCGCAAAAAATGAAAAAAATCTGGCTTAAGTATCTTCCAAAATTTTCGCCTGCGGCGTAAAAAGCGAGTGATAATGAGAGAGTGATGGATTACCAGCTTTTATTCACCCAAATTCCCCTTAATCAAGCTTAATTACCCGATATCGTCCTTAATCCACTCACCTTATCTAACAAAATCACCCCAATGAAAAATAATTCATTGATTTTCCACCCGGAGCCCTGAGCTAACATGGAGCGGCTCCGAAAATTGCCGGCTCCGGAGCCCGGAACTGGAGCCGGAGCCAAGATTTTATAAGCCCGGAGCCGGAGCCAACAAATGGCAAATACCCAGCACTGCTCCTAATATTCAAAATCAGCCAACTTTATCTCGCCAGATACCCTTTAATTCCTCGAAGTGTTTAAATTTGTAGATTATTCAGCTCCTAGTGTATAGAATATCTACATATTTAAAAGCGTTAGAATGTGACAACATCTTAATGGGATATTCTGGATGAAAATTTGTCCAAAAACCGGTCCCGGTTAACCAAAAACCGGGGGTAAATCAAAAACCGGAACCGAAAACCGGGAGTCGAAAACCGGCGATAACCGAAAACCGGGGGTACCGGTTAATAACCGGTAGTGAGCAACCCTATTTAAAACCCCCAAAATTTGTAAAAAATAGAAAATCACTTAAAATTTAACCATATACCGTATTTATTCTAATAGAGTGGCCGCCACTCTATTTTTCGATACCCCCAAAAAGGGGCCATTCTATTTTTCATAGGTAAAAATCAGAGATAGGATGAATCAAATGTTCGATCGAATATTTTTTGACTTAGAAATTTAATCGATTTTTCGTGTAAAATTCTATATTTTCGACTTTGGTTAGTGAATCTTTCTTTTCGTAACACTATAAAACATAAAAATCTTTTGCCTGCTGGGCAAAAAGGCAACTTTTTATTTACTTTGGTGCCAGACAATCAAAATTTCCGGTATAGTTTGCTCATAAAAGTTCGTGGGATCTCGGAATTTGGACGTAATATATGGAAATTGGGAGAGATTTGGAGGGATATTGATTAGTAATTAAAATTCTAAACTACCAAAAATTCCAAAATTTTCGTATGTCTTCAAGGGTCCTGAAATATCCAGAATTTTATCCCAAATCTCAATCAATCCATCATTATTCCTCAAAATCCTATGTCCCTGCAAGTCCCCTGATAAAATAAATGTATCCAACTAAGGTTGTCGGATAGTTGGAAATCTTCGGATATCCGGATCCAATATCCGAACCGGATCCGACAACCTTATATCCAACTTCCTTATATCGTCAAATTCATAAATATCTATTAATTCTCTTAATCCCATGCATCTTCATTAAATCGTTGTAATTTCTTGATATCCCTCCTAATCCTCTCAAATCCCCTAATATCCCTCTTAATCTCCCTTTTATGACTCCAGATTTGCTCGAAAATATTATGATTATCCTTACTAAAGAGTAATATTTAATACATAATAGGAAAATAAAGAAATGTATTCAGGCATATACTTATTAGTTAAAAGGGCCATTCTATTAGAGGGCCATTCTAATGGAGGTGGCCATTTTATTAGAATAAATACGGTATGATGTATCCTATTTTACAACATTTATATCTTCCCACGACGAAACGTTCGGGGTTTCGTGACACGCGTCTCGCTGAAGTCGGCGGTTGCCAGGTTTTGTTCGAAATAACATAGGCTTTTAGCTTACGAATGGATGCGGGTTTACTCAGCATCCAAAAATAAATATGGTCATACTTCACTTTAATACTGTTTTAATTTTGCTAAATATATGATTGAAAATTTAAATGAAATTTTATATTCGAATTTAATAATTAGCCTTACAGCAGGGATGGGTCGGGTCAACGATTGCGGGTTTGCGGGTTGAGATTTTTCTCATTTTCTTATACATATTGGAATTAATTTGAAAAAGTGTATATGGAGTAGGTTAAAAAGAACCCGGAGCCTTTATTTTTGGTCCAATTTTCAAATAATTTTCTATTTATATAGCCTTATGTTTGACAGACAAACTGCCAAGAATTGGTCAAAAAATCATAACTTTTGTTCAAAAAGCACGCAAAAAAAAATTATAAAAATTTAACAAAAATTACTCCTTATACACTTTTTCAAATAATTTCAGATATAAGAAAATGGGAAAATTACAAACCCGCAAACCTGCAATCGTCGACCCGACCCATCCCTGCCTTACAGGTCCTTTTTTTAGTTTGTATTTTTATTTTTGGATGCTGATTAAATCAGCAAAATATTATTGAATCCTTGACTTGGGAAAATTCGATTTCTGACTAGAAGAATCTGAAACTTTTTCCCTTAATTTACTTTTATTTGAAGGTGGGGCTTTCTACTCGTTTCAATTCTAACTTTCTTCAACTTTTGGTACTACCTCTTTGTACTTATCTGTTTGCCTTGTACACAAGAAAATTCTGTTAGACATTTGCTCAAACAAGTAAAGAAACTTTTGAAATTTCTTGTAATTACAAATTCCTTTAAATTTTAAAGGATAGACACGAAAACATGGTTTATTCAGCAAAGAAAAGGGATCGGAAGTTGATCAAGTCATTTGCAGAGGAGGCGCTTTGCAAGGATGGGGTAAAATAATTTTTGAATATATTTAGTTTGTAAAGGAAGACCTCACCATAATATATTAAATCCTAAAACTAACAGAATAACAAAGAATAAAAATAACATATCTCTCACAAGAGAAAATAAAAGAATAACTTAGGTGGCAATTGTCAGGTATAAATATAGTCTGTTCGAATTTTCTTTTTATTTAAAATAAGTGGGTTACTTAAAAAAATAATTGATTAGGCGGCTACAGCATTAAGGTACTTAGTAATCAGATTGATCAGCTTTTAACTAAACCACATAACCAACAAATCCATGATTAAATCCATTCTAGATTCCTTACTGTTTATTTTCAATAATTTTTATTTTCCCTTCAGATTCTTCTCTTTTGGTTTATCGAGGGGCATGCTGGACCACTTATTGCCAGAGAAATACTTGGAGAAATATTTGACTACTACAAGGAGAAAATGGTTAGTTTTGTTGATTTTTATATAGTATGATAGCTAGATTTGTTCAATATATAATTTTCCAATTTAGGTGGTACTTATATGTTTATGTTTTATTCAAGTTAATCTGATCCTGTGCGGAGAGGGATTTATTTTTTGGGAGCCAAGCCTTATTGCTTTGGCTAAATTTACAAAATTTAAAATTTATACTTGAAAGAAAGAGCTTGGGAAACTTTAATAATTCCAAAATTTGTGATCATTTTTCTGATTTTTTCAAATTTAGCATTACGAAGACGACGGAGAAGATGATTTAATTAAAAAATCTGGCAAAAGTTCCTTCTCTTCACAAAGTACTGGTTCAATGGAAGACGATTATGTTGAAGAAGGAGAGGACGATGAAGAGTTTTATGGTGGAGGAAAGGCTGCTTTAACTCACAGATTTGGAAATAATGGAGGTGGGTATAATTATATATAGTCTGCCATTTCCATTTGGTATATCTCTAGTTCACTTTTCGAATCAAAGTTAAAATTTTGCTAACATTTATAACATTAAATAGGAGCGCGGTGATGGTTAAGATGTCCCTCAATCATATTTGCTGATTTTTTCAGCATCCAAAAATAAACTTGAATTAAAAAAAAGAAGGAACCAAATCCAAACCAAATAATAGGATAAGATATAAATATTTAAATTTTCAATTAAATATTAAGCTTACCCTGGGTAGGGTAAATGAGCGACAAGGACCGCATCTAACATTTTTTCTTTCTTCCATTAATCGGGGCTTGGATCGAAAAATTGTGAATTTAAATTACAAAAAGTTTAAGATAAAAGTTCATAGGAAAAAATTTTCCGAAATATAAGTACTAACAAAAATACAATTTCAAAATTTTATTATCACTCATGTCACTTGTATTTCTCTTCCAAATAAGTCTAGATAATTTTATTATGTATTTTTAAGGTATTCCATCCCCTACAGCTCCTCCAAAATTGCCTTTGGGAGAGGCTACAAGCCTTTCCTCCTTTTCACAAGAAAGAGAATTATTACCAACAACTGTAGAGGGAGGTGTAGATACAAATACAACAGAAACTTCACATTTATATTCATCAACACCTAGAAGGAAGGGAGCAGGAAATTCAGCTAGGGCAAGGTATGGTAATGTGGCAGATGAACGACGACCTCCTAATTTTTATAATAGTGGTAAGTGTTTAAATAATATATAATTTTGCGTTAATTTATTTATGAATAAGTATGTGTATTTGGAATATATGGCATGTTTGATCGGGGTCGTTTTTTGTATTTTTGTAAGCCGGCCATCCTTGGCTAATATACTTATAGAGTATAATAGTTTATCTGTATAAGGATAAAACCGGAAAAATGATTCTGGAAAAAAATATTAGTACTCAACCGGCGGTACCCTACCGGCTGGTATTCAACTGACCCCTACCACTTTTACTTTTATTGGCAAGTTTTAAGGATTTTGCCCTTATTGGCAAGATATGGGTTTGGCAAGATATGAATTGTGCAAGATAGGGGAGCCATTTATTTTGTTTGTGTTTTCATCAGTCCCTGATCGCTTTTTTAACGAAAGTAAAATGCTAACTTTAACATTCAATTTTCCATTAATTTCAGGCCATAGACGCAGTATTAGACGTGAAAACAATAACAACGAAAATCCTGGAGGTGGAAGGAATATATTTTCCCGTTTCTTTCGTTTTCTTTTCGGTTTTGGAGGAAATAACGGAATGAATGATAATTACTACAGAAATCAACGATTGCCTATATTAGCTACTCCTTTTACAAACCCAACGGGGCCTGCAGGGAATTATTATGGTAAAGCACTTGTAAAGGAGGTTTGAAATGTTTTTCTGAGTTTTGATCATTCTGAAATTTTTAAAAGTTTTTAATGTGACTAAAGAAGGTAAAAAATTGAGTATTAAGGAAAAATATTGAAACACAAATAGTAAAATGTAAATTAATTCCGATTTTGTTAAGAAATTAGCTTGTTTTTTTGCTAAATAGTGTTAATTATATTTATTGATTATTAAATATCTAATAGGTTACAAGCTTGATAAGTGTTGAAGTATTGTCAGCTGTATATTTTTGGAAGCAATGATTTTCCATTGCTAAATGTAATTCGCCTTGAGAAAAAGGGACCCTTGTAAATTTTTAGTTAAACAATTTCCTCTTTCTACCTTTCTTTAGTTACATGTGATTATCACGAAATTTAATAATTGCGGAAGCTCTCTATAACGTCCCTTAAAATTCTTATGCCATCTCCATTTCGACCCGAATGTTGTGATTTGCTCAATTTCCATTTTCTGTCACACCACCCCCCTTCTTCGGCTAAATTCAGCTAAGTGACGTTATATAGAGAGATTCCACTTAATTTATATCCTCATTTATTTTGCTATTCACTTCCATTTTTGTTAAAATATCAGTGCTGCGCATAAGCGCTTAAACATCCTTTGCTTTCACAAAAAGTTTTCAGGGATCTTTACTAAATTTTTTTTAAAATTAATTATTTTTTGATTAATATTTTGTTCTATTTTATTTTTAAAATTTAATTTTAATCCTTCCATTTAATCTTTTTTTTTTCAAATTTTTATATTGGAAGCAAATATTACTTATTCTTGTGCCTAAATACATATTTTTTGGGCGTTTAAACTATACACTCCGAGGAATTTCCTTAGAAATAATTTTTGGTTCTCCAAACTTAAGTTTATTTTCCGTTCCCTAGAGTCTATCAGAAAGATCTAGTTCAAAAACCACATCGTTATTTTTAGATCCTAAGACAAAATAACGTGTTAATAAAAAGAGCAAACACAAAAATAACGAGGTAGTAACTGTAAGGAATAATGTGAGGATAGCAGTAACTAGTTTGTAGGGTTGGACAAAACCGTTTAGCTAAACGGTAAACGGTATACGATAAACGGGTTTTTTGCTAAAATAAACGAAACGGTATACGGGTCGCAGATAAACGGCATAAACGGTATACGGTTTTGTCCAACCCTACTAGTTTTGATAAAGGATTTTTTTAAATCAACATTTCCTAGACTTACAGAAATACTATTTTACTGCCCAAAATCTTGTTTAAAGTTTTGGTATCTAAAATTAACCAATTTTTTAATTATTTGCTTCCAATATTTTTTAAAATATATTCTTACTATAAAACAGTAATCTCATTAATTAAAAAATTGTCTTGGTGTCCTTTTTTCTAATTATAATACTAATTATTCATTTTTTTCCACTCATGGTTTTTTTAAATTACTTTCTTTTTTTAACCCTATTCACTTCATTTTATAAAAACACTTCTTTTTCTTGCATCATATTTAATTTTTTTTAATTTTTAAAATTTTCGATTATATTTTTTTAAAAATCATTTTGGTCAGCTGAACGCTAGATTGAGTTTTAAGAAAATATTTATTCTGACAATAAATTCTTTGGGGCAGTACAACTTTGTCCGTATTCTTATAACTTAAGAAAGGGTATCAATATTCTGTGGGTTAGTTGATTATGATTTTTTGATTCCTGTGAAGTATTAGAGGTGGGCTTCTAATAGAGGTGGGCTTTTATTTACGGTATTTAAAATTAATATTATTTAATCAAATTATATGAAGTAACATTTGGTTTTCCAAGCTGATTCTAGGTTACTAAAAATTTCGTTTTGTTTTCTTAATGCATCTTTCAATATTTGTATAATCAATGCTAGGGTGAGAATAAACTAATTTAAGTTTGTGTTGCCAAATATTTGCTGATCTAATCAGCATCCAAAAATAAATCTACATTATGTTTAAAGCAAAGGAGAAAAAACAAAAGTAAATTATCAACCCGGAATATTAAAATTATATATAAATATTTAAATTTTCTATTATATATTTAGCAGAATCAGGGATGAATAAAGTAATTGAGTTCGTAATTGTATTCGTGATTGTAACACCAAATATTAGTCGAAAGTTCCCAATATCGTATAAGCAGAATATCCAACTATAATTTATTTGGGTGTCTCATTAAAGCGAAAATTTAATTTGATTAAAATAGGTTAATTTTTTTTAAATAGTTAATTTGATTAAAATAGGCTTTTTTAACCACGTTCTAGCGTTCAACTGATTCCTAAAAAATTATTTTTCTTTTTGCGTTTGTATTTTTTAAAAAACATTCCAACAAATTGCAATATCATTTCCCAACTAATTTTTTTATTTATTTTTAATTTTTTTAATTAAAAATTTAATTTTCTCTTGTCTGAGAGAAATTTTTTCAATTAAAAGAGAGGGTGTTTTTTGGGGGAAATTTAGTTTGGGTTACTACAACTGCTCTGAATTCAAATTTTTTTCAGACAAAATTCAATTTGGCACATTTTCAAAGGTAGACTTATTCAATAGAATAGGGCAGTCCTTAGACCAATCTGCCATAGGTCTATTTAGTTAATCAGCTCGGGGTTTTTAGAATAAATGGAATTCCCCGTCCAAAATAAATTTGGACTTAAAACTGAATTTGAAAGCCTCCATTAAAATACTCTCTCAATTTTTAAAAACAATTTAAATATATTTTTGAAAATTGTATTCCTCGATTAAATTTTATTTTCACTTAATATATTGTATTTTTAATTTGAAGATAAAAATTTTTTGGAAAAATAAATTTTGGTGTTAAAAATAATTTATAAAAATTAAAAAATGTACTTACCTAATTAATAAATGAATAAAACAGTGTTTGGAAATTTAGATTTTGCTCGTTCTTGAAAATAATTTGTATAGTTAAGCAAATGGGGAGGATCAAAACAAACACTTGCAAAGCATGCTCCAGAGAGCCGTTAATCAAGTGGTTCAGTAATTTTTGGTAATGAAAATACAGATTTTTGGCTCCTATCCATATTTAACGTCCATTCGAAACTTTATACGTTCAATGATAATTTTTAATAATTCGTACGTCCAGCCAATGAAGCTAAGATCCTGGTTCTGCTCTACCATAAAATCTTTGGAAATACTTAGGAACTTTACTAGCGCAAAGTTATTGTGCACACGGCCGTTACCGTAAATATCGAAATGGATTGTTAGACGTATATATCTTTGACTAAAAAGTTTGTTTGCACACGCAAACTAGGCAAGAACCGATTTTGCTTTCCGTTTTCCTAAAGTGAAACTTTTAAAACATTTTTGTTCCTTATCTACTTTCTCATTTTTAACTCGCTTTAAATTTATAATTTTAAAAGTTATTCAAGTATTTCGGCGAATATGGTCTTTATTTATTGGATGCCATTCTATCACAATAGGCAAAAACGCAGGGCTCCGATTCGTACTTTTTTAAAAGTATTGTACTTTTTTATCGACCTTCGTACTTCCGAAATTGAATTTGTACTTTTTTGAAAGTATGTACTTTTTTATCAACATTTTTGAAAATATGGAAGAAATCTGGCTTAAGGACCTCCAAAATTCTCAAAATTTTCGCCTGCGGCGCTGAAAAAGAAGAAATCTGGCTTCTT